TGGGGTCAAACCGGGGTTTAGCAGTTTAGAAGGGTAGGTTGAAAGTACAAGTAGGGTCAAATCGTGCCCTATTATGAGTTAAACATATTCCCCAAATTTCATTTTCCTAGCGTTTATGGTTTTTGAGAAAAAAAAATTAAACCAAAATTTTCCGCCATTTTTGGAGGGGTGTAGCTCCTTAGGGGAGCCGAAGTCGCCCATGGTTCATATATCAAAGTACCCTTAAAATTCACTAAAGAATCACCCCTTCAAGTTTGTTGCAGTCATTCAGATACACCCTGTATAGGGGTTGATTTTTTAGCCACCTGTAATAACATTTTCCGGTTATAAAAATCGTCAAAAAGTGTCATTTTATTAGCAACAGTTATGTGCTAAATTTCATGCTTCTAAATTCCTCCATAGTGGATTTGTTAAAGAAAAACCATTCTTTCCCCTAATTTTAGAGGGCTGAAACTTGGAAAAGAAGTGATTTTGACCAAAAAGTTATATGAAAGACCTCCTTTAATTTTCGTTGAAAATCGCCCCTTAAAATCTTTCGCATCAATTTAGATACACCCTGTATGTTATATATTTTATTTAATTAATTTTATTTGTATTTTATTTCTTTCTTATAGGTGAAAGGAATATGGCTTACCTGATGAACTGGCAAACGATGATAAATTGAAGAAACTTAAAAAATTGACAACTCCATGAACTTGACTTGCTGAAAAAGTTTCCAGAAGAAAATTTCTTCTTCTTGATGTTTTTGATTTTTTGAACTTCTTCCTTCTGAACGTCAAAACGCTGTTCTTTGTCGTCGGGGTCAATGAAGAATTCCAATAGAGGATATTAAATGGAATCGGGTTTTATTTATTGATTAATTTGTTTATATATTTTTGTTGGACAAAGAATAATAATAATATTTTCTGGTAACTAATGTAGTAACATCGATTTTGGTAACTCGATTTCCAAAATCGGTTTGCCACAACACCAAATGCACTTCTGGGTCGAGTTTTGCTATTTCGCGAGGCCATATTTAAATTTTGCCATCGATGTACTGGTTACTGTAACCATCTATATCTATCATCACCATAACCATAACCATCTATCATATACCATATTGGGCAGCAGCTGCTAAACACATCACTTTAGACATGGTTGAATTTAAATAGATTTTCTGGTTCACTTTAGTGATATAAAATTACATTTCATTTATTTGATAAATCCTCAAACTCGCCATTCTCTTTCACAAACAACATTGGAAGGTTTTCCATTACACAATTATTAAAAGAATCGGTCTAAATGAGGATCAAGATTTATAGATAGACAATTTACATAACAGATAAAGTAAACTTCGGCATTTTGATGAAAGCGGAAAATTTGTACTAACAAAACACACTTATGTAAACATTTACAAACGAAATTTTAGCCACACTCAAGTGCGTAATCTCTTTCTAAGTAAAATAGAGTACTTTTAGCGTTATCTTTTCTTTATAATTTCGTTAAAAAAGTCATCAATTAGATCGATTCTATTCCAATATCTAAACAAGATTATCAAACACTTTATAAGCACGGTATTACAAAATTTGATTCATTTTTATTAACCAACAGTTTGAGTGATATAAAGTTTTAAAAATATAATATGCGTAAGTAGATTTACTCTTTGATTTCCGTTACGATTATATTTTAAGTGTTACTCTAATGAATCATAAAAAAACATAATTTTCAGCATTATGTTACTCATAATTGATAGAAAAAGATAAACGAATTTAGCAAACAACCACAAGAGATAACTCACTTCTAAAAAACCTTTATTTTATCAATCGATATAACAGCTGAGTACTAAAACTGATTTTATTTCATAACTTATTTTATTGTAAAGCTTCAATTCTAAAATGTGTCTAAATTGCATATTTTGTTGTAATCCACAAGGTATTAATTTTAAAATTTATTTTAAATTAATAAATTTAATTCCTCTTTTTTAGCTGTTAATCGCAACAATATTAAGTTTTATGGACATTCTTCATCAAAGGCGGTTAAAATAAAGGAAATTGAAGATTTTAAAATTAATGAAACGCAACCAATAAAAATTTTAATACATGGTTGGATGGATAACAAAGATTCGTTTTGGTTCGAACCAACAGTAAATGAGTATTTAAAAAAAGGAAATGTGAATGTAATCACCGTCGATTGGGGTAAACACGCCAGAGGATTTTTTACATTAGCCGTTAAATCAGTAAAAAATGTTGGAAATCATGTTGGTGATTTTATAACTGAATTGGCCGAAAAATACAGCCTACCGTTCGAACAATTCCATCTTATTGGACATTCTTTAGGAGCTCACATATCAGGATTTGCAGGTAATTCTTTATTTAATTTAAATTTTCTTTATTATTTCTTAATTTTGTTTTAGGAAAACGAATTTTAGCACTACGTGGAGCAAAAATCGGTAGAATAACAGCTTTAGATCCTGCAGGACCACTCTTCATAGGAAATTGTCCTGATGATAGATTATGTTCTGGTGATGCCAATTTTGTTGATGTTATTCACACAGACGGAGGCCACTTGGGTTATGAAAAACCAATTGGTCATGCGGATTTCTTTCCATGTGGGGGAAAACGTCCGCAAAATGGTTGTGCCAAAATTGGTAAGAAACATTTAAAATTTAATACATTACAGATTTCTGTAAAAATAATTTTTTTGTTTAATAGGTGGCGGCAGTCATAATAGAGCCCCATTATATTTCGCCGAAAGCATAAACACAACCAATTTTGTCGCTGTAAACACTTCAAATTACGATGAATTTGACTGTGGGAGATACTCAGATAATCAAAGGGCTGTTATGGGTGAAAATTGTCAAATTGGGATTAAAGGCGATTTTTATTTGCATATTAATAAAAATACACCATACGCGAAAGGTGCAATTTGAATTTTAAATTAAGTTTTAATTTGTTATTTAAGAAATAAATTAATTTTCATTATTTATTTAAATAATTCAATATATGTTAATTGGGTTGCCTACATTTAATTTCTTTCACCTTTAATTTTTTTATTATATCAAAAATTATTATTTATATGTAAAAATATTCCTGCAATGTTAATTTTTTGAATAACTTATTAGCCTCGTATTTGATGTATTAATAAGTGCGACCATAAATTAAGTTACATAACCGGACAATAATTTTAAAATAATTCCAAATTCCATCATAACATAGGGTTTTTACATTTTTTATGTTGTATATTTATCGCAGCTGTCAAAGTGTATTGTCAGTTTGAACGTCAAAACAAGCATTTTTCTTGCACATTTTTACAAAGATATTAAAATTTACTTAAATTAGTAAGTTTATATATGACGCAAATAAAGAAATGTTAAAACGTAACGTTTGAGTATACAAGTTGGACTCTTGTCAACATTTTTTACGAATCGCGATAACCTACCACAACACAGAAATACGCATATAAAAACACAGTACAGGTAAGTGAGTATAAACCATTTATGACTGATAAACATTTCTGTAATTAAATAATTCGCATAATGTGTTTGTTAATTAATTTATTGTTTTTTAAGTGGTTACACGTTTTTTTAGGCATGACCTAACCTATATGACATAGCAAAAATGTTGGAAGGATTAGCTGCATGGGTTTTAAACAACTATCTTGGGAAATATGTAGAGAATTTAAATACGGATCAATTAAGTATAGCTCTTTTATCAGGTGAATAAGTTTCACAATTAAAAAAAATTGAAATATTGTTTATCAAAATGATCCAATATAATAATTAGATAACTTGCTTTAGGTCAAGTTGAACTTGAAAATTTACCATTAAAAAAAGATGCATTACGACACCTTGGATTACCTATTGAAATAAAATCGGGATTTATTGGAAAAGTGAAATTGCAGATACCAGTGAGGTTAATTAAATCTGCACCATGGGTGATTCAAATTGAACAATTATATGTTGTTGCATCTCCATTACCAGTGCAAGAGGTTAAAATAATTTTTAATATCTGTTAATTATATTACAACTGATGAAATTAATTAATTTTTATTTTTTCTTTTACAGTGGGATAGTGTTGCTGAAAAATTAGCATCACAAGAATTAAAATTAAGTGCTTTAGATAATTTTGAAGCCAAATGGAGATTAGAAACTGAAAGTAAAGATCAATCTACTTATTACGCATCTACTTATTCTTCTTGGTTAAGTTATGGAACTGGGGTGATCACAAATATTATTGATAATCTCCAGGTAAAACAAATAATTAGGGGTATTTCTTTCTCAAAATATATTATATCAAATTTTTTAAACCATACAATTTTAATGAAATATAAAAAAGTGTTACCAAATTGATGTTAGGTTATGCGAAGTTCTTAACAAATTTTTGAATAGGTGTGATAATAAAACTATTTAAAAAGTAATAGGAAAAAATGTTAGGTTAAATAAATAAGAAATATTAGTCACATTTTTTTGCTATTTATCAAATATGACCAAATTAAAATATTTCAATTTCCTATTATTCCATCATTATGATATAGTTTTTGTTGATCCAAACATCTTTTTCAATGTGGACATCCTTTTATAATGACTTTTAAATAAAGTTATACAGGGTGCCTCACAAAATTGATTTATTAGACCTTTTATGGGTTCTGAACTAAAAAAATCTTTAAAGCTGCCATTTGCCAAGCTATTAGAAGTATGTTACAACTCTGTTATTTTAAATAGAATGCTTTAGTTTTTATTACATATTCATATTGTTCATATAAAAATATATTGGTCTTGACAAGAATTGTTGATACTTGGTTCTTCACATTTCTTGGCTGTCGATCAAACCACATTTTTGAATCCACATTGCACAGCTAAATGAATATTTCTTCCTGAATAGTTCTATTCCACGCCTTTCTTGGGCGCCCTGGTCTCTGTGCTCCTTAGGGGTTCCAGCCAAGCGCTGACATCTCAACTGCTTCATGAGGCTTCCTTAGCGTGTGGCCAATCCAACGTTATTTTCTCTCTTTGGTTTGGTCATTAATGGGTCGTTGTTTTGTTCCCTTCCACAAGTGTTCATTAGATCACCTTACGTTTATGTAAGGTTGTATTTATTCGTAAATTCAGTCTTTGATTCGTTGATTCTACATATATTCAATCTTTAGTATCACTTGTCGATGTGTTGATTTACAAGTGCTTTTTATGGTCAAATTGATTTGATTTTCTTGGACGCCTTGGAACATAAAGTTTTGAATTATCCTGTCCTTATCCTTGGTGATTTTAATTTGCCTGAATATATTAAGGCACCTGGCATATCAATCAAATTTGGAAAAACGGAGTTGTTTCGTAATTTTTGTGTATTTAATGTATTTACTGACGCAAATGATGGTTTGCTGAACTTTCCGTCTTTGGATGGTCGCTATAATTTTCGAAGAGCCAACTTTCCTGGCTTGTATGATGAGCTACTTTATACGGATTGGTCTTTTCTAAATGTGCAGTAAATCCACTAAATTGTGTCGTAGATCTTCATACCCTATTTGGTACACCCCAGAAATGAAGCGGCTATTAAAATTGAAAGAGTATTATAGGAAGAAGTGGAGAAGAAAGAATAGTGCTTTCTATTTAACGGAATATAAAAGATTGAGGTGTTTGACTAAACAGAAAATCTTTGATGCGTATACTTCCTTTACTATTAGTGCTGAACAATCGCTTAGTTCTGATCGCCGTAAGTTTTGGAGTTGTATAAGACAGAAAACAACGACTTCTCGACTTCCTGGAAAAATGATGTGTGATAAGTCCACCTACACTGGTCCTGATAAAATAGTTAATGCTTTTGCAGATCAATTCTCTAGAGTATATACTGATGTCTCTGCTTACAACATGGTTGGTGTACATTCTACGTATCCTCCAGTATTTATAGTCGATCTCACTGAAGAACAGGTTCTTCATTTCCTAAAAAGGTTACATAATAAATTTACTGCTGGTGATGATGATCTTTTTACTGCTTTTCTTGATGATCTAAAATCATTTCGACCTATTGTTTCGAAGCGTGATGTTGTCAGTCTGACTTGGACGTCTTGGTGGAATGGTGTAACCGTTATCAGTTATAGATTAATGCCAATAAGTGTGGTGCCGTGAGTTTTACACGCAAGCTGTCTCCTCTTCCATCTTCTTATTATGTAGGTGTTCTCCTTGAAAAACTATCTACAATCAAGGATCTGGGAGTTACTTTTGACCGCAAATTGTCTTTTGCGTCGCATAGTGAAGATATTGCATCTTTTGCACCGAGGATGCTTGGTTTCGTTTTACGCAACTCGCGTGCGTTTTCTGACATCGGTGTGTACAAGTCTCTGTTTTAGACCTTTGTATTGTTCAAAATGGAATATGGCTCTCTAATTTGGTCACTACAATATATTGGAAAGAATTCAGAGGAGATTTCTCAAATATTTGTCTCTAGGCTTGGATGCATCATATCCGGATCGTGGAACGGATTACGCATTCCTGCTGCAACGTGACAACTTTTCTGAACTGGACGCGAGAAGACATGACCAGTGTATCAAGTTTTTACAGAAGGTAGTGCAAGATGAATTGGATTGAGGTTGGTTCTTGTCGCGGATCATTTTCGCGGTGCCTACGCGTCCAACACGTAGTACCAATGAGTTTTATCTGTGGAATTGCCAATGTTTTAGCCAACTCCCCGTTGCACAGGATGTGTAAACTAAGTAACAACGCCACATTTCGTCTTAACATAGCTAACACCAACCTTTATCAAAACTCGCCATTAGTTCGAATTCTTAATGCCTATAACCAGGGCTTCAACCATGTATTTCTCTTTGACGTATCTTTACGCTCTTTTAGAGAACGTGTATTAACTAACGTATAACTAACGATTTTAGATTGTTACAATTTTTTTATATTAATTTTCATAATTATGAGGATGTTTTGTTGGGGATATTCTCCCTGTATGCATCCCGAATATGTAATAAATAAATAAACAATAATAGTGTAGGAGTGTTTATGTGAGTTATATTTGTTTTATAACATGTGCTATTTCTTGTGTTTTCTTGTAATATTGTCCTGTAATCTGATCTTTGTTGGGCAATAAAGTGAATTATTATTATTCTACATCCCCTTGGTGACTCCTTCCATCCTCACACCTATACAGGAGGACAAGTTTATCAAACTTGTTGAACAAGCAAAATTTTGTTCTTTTTGAAATGTATTATTATTTCACCAGATAGGGTACAACTGTATTTGTATCTCCACATCTTCCTCTGCCATTCATGTCTTTTCCAATCACTGTTAGCTTCGACTACACATTTTATCCTCATCTTCTTCGTTTTTTCAACATTGAGTTTTAGGCATGCTGCTCTGCTTAGCAGTAGTATAATGTTGGTTCGAAAATTTATTGTCGTCCTTGTCCAGAATTCGCTCAATCCCATGTTTCTGATCTAGTCTTTTATTTATTATTATCAAACTGGTTGTTACATTAAGCACTGATTCATTAATACACCTTTTCAGAGCTAGGGTCTAACCCCACTTCTTAATATTTGGGAGCTTTTGGAGCATATGTAAAAATATAGAAATTTGTGTTACTAAATTCATGGAATAAAATAAAATCAGAAGAAAGAATAAGCTTACTTGCATCAATGCCACGACGCTTTTGCTCAGTTATAGAATTTAAAGAAGGATCAATCAAATACTGAAAGAATTGAACAGTATATCTTTTTAATGATCCCATAAATAAAAATCTAATGGTGTCAGATAAAGCGGTTGTGGTGGCTATTACTAGGAGGTGTTTACTTGTAGTTAAATTGTCTTATTCTATGGCTACTATGAAAGCCAAATGTTATTTTTCTATGCTTTTAACAAATTGCATAATATCTCTATATTTAAATCTATGGGTTATAATGCTGTGTACTTAGGAACTATAGTAATTACATGGTTCTGAATCATGTAACATCCTTCTGTATAAGATAGATTGAAAAACTTAATGATGGTATTAATTAAAAATAAATAATTTAGAATATCTTGAAAACGAAAAGCATTAGGTATCAACAATCAAAGTTGGTATAGAAACGTACTAGAACCTAATGAAGTTCTAATAAATCACCCAAAAGAACTAGCAAATAAACCTAGTTACTTCATTTTCATATTTTATTAATGTTGTCTTTTCTATAGTTAAAGATTAAAGATGTTCACATACGATATGAAGACAATGTTAGTCTTAATAACAAAGCGGCAGCTTTTGGCGTTACAATGGAAACACTGTCGGCCCAAAGCTCTGATGGATGGACCACACAATGGGATAGTGCAACCTCTTCATTTAAGTTACTTGAAATGCAAAAATTGGCTGTGTATTGGATTGATTTAGATTTAGATAAAGTTTTTTCGAAAATGTCACCTGCAGAATTAGCTGTAAGTAAACAATTTTGTAAACAGGTATATTGTATTATAGATACTAGACAGATACTAGATAGATACTACTGTTAAAAATTAGATTTTTTTTAAATTACCGTTATTGTTGCTTTTTTGGCGGTTGCTTGTAGTTTTTGGAGGGTAAAAACTGAAAGTGAAAACTTTTGGATTCAATTTTTTTGCAGTAGATACTATCAAGCAGTCATTTATCTGCTAAATCAACACTATTGCTAAAAGAATAAGCCATATGGGTCTTTTTGCTATCTATTTCTAATTCAGAGATATCCCACTACTTGTGACTCACCCTGAATATCCATTTATAAAACGAATCTTTCAATACATTATTAATATTCTAATAAATTTTGTTTAATTAGTTGGCTATGTCACCCGGACAGGACCACATATATGGCAATCATTACATCCTTTCGCCAGTAAGTGCTCAAGCGCGCATACAAAGAAATCGTAGTGAAAAACCTCTAAGATCTATTGATACACCAAGAATAACGTGTGATTTACAATTAGATGAGGTTCCATTAACTTTAATTGACGTAAGTTATATTAAATTAGATTAAATACATTCTTTTTAACTTACTTTATTTTTGTAGTGGCAATATGAGCAAATAGTAAAATGTACGAGGGGTTTGGATGATATCGCTAGGCTTCGTAGTTATAGGGAGTATAGACCAAATTGTTCAGTTTCTGAAGATGCTCACGCTTGGTGGGTCTATGCAATTAGTTGTATGTATCCAGGAGGGCAACCAAATATATGCAAACCGCATCCAACGTGGGAGTCATGTTTGGAACGCGCCAAAGAAAATGTTGCTTACACAAAATTGTATAAAAAGATACTTGTTACTCCTACAATAACACTAACTGTAGAAGAAAAAAAGGTTAAAGATAATGTTGAATGGATAAGGGATGTTGAAGAAATAAAAATTCTAAGAGAGGTACCAAAAAAGCTATATAACTAATTATTATTAATTATTAATAATTATGTTTAGATTGCCATGAAATCTGTACCATCCCAACCACAATCTACAAATCAAAATAGTGCCGCTGGACGTGGAGTTTTAGTTCGTTGGTTTCCTCAATGGATGGGTTGGTATTCTTCAGCACAAGTCGAAACAACGCAAAGTAATGAAGCAACACAATTAGAGGGCGAAATTCTTAAAGCGCTTTCTGATTCGTTTGATGACAACACAATTTTAAAACGTGATGTTGTTTTTGGTAAATTTAGTTTTTCATTAAAGAGTGGTTTGATTAGTTTATGCAGTACCAAAGATAATTCAAGAGAAAGGTACGCGTAATCTCAATTTTTTTTATTGGAGCTTTATTACATTTTATTTCCAGTATACCAATGATTGAGTTAGAATTTAAAAATTTAAGTTTAAACATCACAAGTAAACCAAGGTCGACATCACATATTGTCGAATTATGTTTAGGTGGAATGTATTTGAAAGATAAAATAACATCTAATACTATATTTCCAACTTTAATTGGACCACCATCGCAAGAAAGATCGTCTATGATAAGATCGAGAGGACCAAGTCCAAGAGTGAGTCTTATGTCTAGTAATGAAGACTTGTTTTCCTTGGTTTATGAGAAATGTCCTATTAATTCAGGCTATGATTATAAGTAAGATATAAATAATTTTGTAAATGTTTAATTTAATTATATAAATTTTCTGAATTTAGATTATCAGTTAAAACAAAATCGCTTGATGTTGTTTATCAACCAGCAGCAATAAAGTGGCTTTTAGAATTTTTATTTAATCCCCATCAGCGCATCATAACTCATTCAAGAATAGAAGCGATGAAATCAAGGACAAAAAAGGGATTGATAAAGAATTGGGAGCAAATGTTAGATGGGCGAGTTGTAAGCAATAAAATATTATTTTACTATTTAAGTAATAAAATGTTACTTCAATTAATTTTTAGTTAGTAAGAAAGATCTGGGATTTACAATTAGATATCTCAGCTCCACAAATATTCTTTATAGAAAAATTTAATGATCAGAATTCATCAATGGCAGTTATAGATTTTGGTAGATTTCTTGTAAATAATAAACCACAAGATGTAGTTATACCTGAAATTGTTACTAAAGAGTTAGTCACCAAAGAATCTGAAGACGATGGTATAATAATTCCTCTTAATTCATTCATGTATATTTTTATTTTTTTACATATTTAGATATGTTTGTAACTCCATGTTCAACACCCCCAGTCAGTGAAGAAAGTGATTCAGCATCGCCAAATACTTTAAACGCCGTTGAATACGCTGATATTCTTAATGAATCAACGTTACATGATAAAATCTACGATCGATATAACGTGGAATTAACAGATATGCAAATTTTAATTGGTAAAGTTAAGGATAATTGGAGATATGCGCATAATAAGGGGTCATCTACAATGCATGTTTTGGATAGATTTAACATTTCTTTACAATTAGAAAGAAGAGTTGTGCATACAACAGATCCATCATTTCCTAGTCTTACTTTAAATGCAAATCTTCCAAAATTAGTGGCCCATTTAAACGAAAATAAAATTTCCGCCGCCAGAACTTTAATGCAAATTATTACAACAACTGGTCTTCCATCGCCTTTTAACATAAATGATAATTCGATGGAAGAATTTATTGATGTACATGATGATGATGAAAGTGAGAGTGTTGATACTAGTGTGGAATTATCCAGATTGTTAATGGTTCAATTTACCATTGATCACATGGCACTTGAAGTACAAAGCAGAGGAAGAAGTGTGGCTGAATTACAAGTTACTGGTGTTAAGGTAGCATTTACTAAACGACCAGTTGATATTGGAATTACCTTAACTGTACATGGATTACTTCTGGTGGATGCTTTACAAACGTTTGGGCCAGATTTTGAACTTCTTGTTGCCAGCCATAAACATGTTGGGTAATCAACCGGTTATATATATATTTTTTATATTTACTATTTAAATGATTATATTTTAGAATGGATTCAATGTCGGGAAGTTTACGTGACAGCGAACCTACGTCTCCAATGTCGCCTGGTAGTCCAGATCCAAATGCTTATAGACCACAAACAACATCACCTGTTGCTTTATCACAAGCACTTTCATCATTAGCTACATCTCCGCCTTTACATCAAGTATTACATATGACTCATCATCGTGTTGGTAACTTTTTAGATGCAGAAGCTTTGATTAGCATTGAAATTACACTTATTACTGGAGCTGAATCAATGCAATTTGCTAATATACAATTCAATAATCTGGATATTATTGGTAAGTGGTTTTAAATTATTACTACTATAAAAATTTCTATTGGTATTATTAATATGGGTATGTTTTTCTTTTTCTTTCGGCGTTACAACTCCTGGTGAGGTTTAAGCTGCTCAATGATCTTTCATTTTTTTCCATCTTCTAACTTCCATTCTTCTTAAATCTTCGTTTACATCATCTATCCATCTCTTTCTCGATCTGCTCCTTGCTCTTTGATCCACAGGTCTCCAATCTGTAACACTTCTTGTTGTCCTCTCATTCATCCCAGTCTTCGACTTTTAATGAACGTGACAATATCGGTGTCATCTATCAATTGGTCTAATTCATGATTCATTCGTAACCTCCAGTATTCGATACAGTGTTTGATTTTAGTTGTCATCACAGATATCTCGACCATTGTTGAAGATAAGATAAAATGTTGTAGAAGAAAAGTTGCTACACACTTAATATTCTATTATGTGTCACATTCAAAAAAACAATTGAGCATCAAATGTGTTAGATACAGTGAGTACATCCAAAATTAAAAACCAATTTAGACCAATATTGTTAAGTATTTTAAAAGTATACAAAAATTTATTTACAACTGGGCAGAAAGACTAGCTAGCCCTATTCTACCCCATATATTGTATGTATATATGTATGGGTGTATTGTTGTTATTACTCTTGTTTATTTTACTAAGGATTCAAAATAAAATTTCTTTTCTCTCTTTCTATTTACAACGATATGCCATAGTTATCCAATTAATGAAAAACACAAATTGATATTGAAGTAGCAAATGCACGACGAAACAAATGAAACTACAACATGAACAAAATTATAATAAATTAATATGTAGACTAAAGAAAAAATTGAGATCATAATATCTAAAAGATCTAGTGTCGAAATCTGTTTATTAAATTGGTTCTGCTTTCTTGCAACATGTATTGAATATTTTGGCCACATGTCCTACATATACGAATTTTAAGATCATTAATATCTTGTGGACAAGTATCATAAACTTACCGTTTGACAAAATCCCACATGAAAATATCTAGAATTGAACTGGCAATCTTGCTGGCCTTCATACAAAATATTCTTGATGTTTTGTGCATTGTGGGAACATGTAGGGGTACATCATTCAAATAATCTTCGAATTCTGTCACAAGAAAATTGGCAAATCGATCTGCATTAAGCAATCTTTGAACAAAATAAGGTCCTACGAGTCCTTGACGTGGATTCTCTGTATCCTAGAAGTGCTCATTTTTACTGTTAGAAATTCTATTAGTATTGAAATTAAATTCATTACTCAAGAGTATCAAGTTTAATAAATTTAGATTGTTGTTTAGTTTCCTGGCAAAATCACCATCTCTTAAACCTTGTACTAATTTAACTTTAGGCGGGTGCATTTAATGTTTTTTTTAATAGAAAATGTTTTGTACAGACTTATTCCTAAAGTAGTCTCTGCTTGAGATATTAAATTTCAAGCGTGTGCTTTAAACTACGGATATACTAAAATATCTTCATCATTCATATTTTATTACTGCTTGAGCTATTGTGTGTAATCTATAGATAGGAGAACTATTATAGTCTTTCAAACGTGTAACCACCGACTTCTTTTATATTTGAGCAGCTTTAACATTATTCCATAGCTTCCTGGTGCTTTGTGATTTTTGAGGGTTCCAATTATATTTTTATTTTTTTCATAGCTTGGGTGTTTAGTGTAGGGGCCCACTATGACGTATTCAGTGTTTTGCTGTCAAAACACACCTTCCATCGTTGCAGAATGTCATTTCTCTCCGTAAAAAACATTTCCTTGGACATCTTTATATGTATTTGTTTTAGGTTTAAAAATTTTCGTACTTTCTACTCACGGTTTTGTTGTACTGTTCTAATATTTCTTGTAACTCTCTGTTAAGAACCTCAATCTTCTTCCTTCTACATATTCTAGACGACGTAGTTTTTTTTAATATAGTTATTTCTATTTGCTCTGCTATTCTATTACAAACACATTTGTCTGGCTTATCTCTATATTTTTCATCATATCACTCTTAATTCCTTGGTTTCCACAGTTCGATTTGTTATGAATTCTTAAACACGACCATTTTTTATCTACGTTATGCGAAGGTCTAAAAGGTCTCAAAGATCTAAAAGCCTCTAATTTAACTTCGTCTGGTACTCCTCCTTTAGTTGTGTTATTTGATCGTTGGCCTTCCATTACAAGACCTTTCGTTGTCTCATTTTAACTCCCACCAATACGTTCTCTGAGGATCTGAGTCACAGTCCGCTCCTTTATATGATTTGATGTTCTGGATAGAAGTAGTCCATCTCTTACAGATTAACACATGGTCCATTTGATTGACTTCATGGTATTTACCACGTTCCTTTATATACATATATTTTTCTGTGGAAATGAAGTGCTCATGGTTTTTTAGTTATTGCTTGCGACAAATTGTGCAACCTGAGTCCATTACTGTTTGTCTCTTCATGGAGGCTGTGTTTTCCAAAAATTTCTATAAAACAGTTCTCTCTGCCAAGTTTAAATTTTCGAGGTCCACATCGTGTTTTAAAATGAACATAAGCTGCCTGCAACACGTTCTTACGCAGCCTCAGTTGGAGCATATGTATTGATAAAGGATGTGTTGTGTAGATACTAGATATTGGATGAAATCCCAAACACCATAGATTCTTTTGGTTATTATGAATCCAAGTCCGATATATCCTTGTTTTCTTCGTTTCCAGAGAAATGCAGCGAGTAATTTCTTTTATTTATGGTACCTTACTTTTTCATCTAACCTTCTGAGTTGATCTCTCATCCTTATTTCGTAGCTTAAATCATTTGAGTTTCATTCTTTGACCTATTGGTACTCTTTTTACGAGGTAAGGTCGTTAACCTTACACTTAGCCCCCCCACCTGGAGGGCCAGCGACCCTTTTGTTGGAATTACCATAACTTAGTGGAGGTTTTCCGGGTTTGAAGAGGCAGTGGATCGTTTTTCGTCGAACTCATTCTTGGGCCGACTTGCTAATTTAGCATTTATATCCGCTTCGATTTGCAAATATTAATTAGTGGCTTACGTCTATTTTTGAGCCATTTCTTAGACTTCTCTGCATGCAGAGATTAGACCAACAACAAGATTTTTACATCAAAATGTTATATCAGTGCTATTAAATTAATAAACCAGTATATACTAAGATAATAAAACAAGTAAAACTTTTAAGTTACTAATTCTTTATTTAATTATACTAAAAATACAAAATTAAGATAAATTATTAAGATTATCTTGGTAATTTTTTCTTTTCTTGTAACTTAGCAGCCTTTTTCTTCATACTTTGTATCCTCTTATCTGCACTAATAATATTAATATTGGGTTTCATTAAGCTTCTAGACGAGCTAGAACTACTTGAAACTCCTTGATTATGAGCAGGTGAAGATGACGCTGAAGACGACGAAGATTGTTTGCTAGATGATTTACTTGACGATGAACTCGATCCGGTTTTTTGCGCATTTTTCGAACTTGAGCTACTCTTATAAGACGTAGAACTGGATCCACTACTATTTTTATGTGAAGACGATTTTGATGATTTTGTATGTGGCGAATTTGGCCGCGACCCTACAGGGCTTGTATAAACTTGTTTCGCATTTTTACAACTTTGACAAGTCCATGTTTGATCCGCTTCTTCTTGAGATACAGGCGGCGAATGACATTCTTGATGATACAATATTTGACACTCACAACATTCTATCAGTCGATTTCTAGCCCCAACATCCATTCCTTTGCATACAACACACATTAGATCTTCTTTCCATAAATCAAGTTCTAATTCGTTATCTGAACTCGATGCAGTCTTTGTTTCCTCTATACCTCCAGTTACATTCTTGTATTCTTCCGCAGCTGCTTGTAATTTTACTGCTGGTGCAACGAAAGATGAGAAATCCTTGTCTTTACCTGATTTTGCCTTAATAGCGTCCTCGGCAATTTTTTGTAGTGTTGGAGCATCTCCTGTTCGTAAATGATCTTTACAATATAAAGCCGCAATCGCTTTTATATAAAATTGGTCAATATCCGTAAAATTCATTTTATTTCGTTGATTAACGTGTTTGACGTTTTGCTGTTATAGGTTATGTTTAGTGCGGCCATTTAAATACTATCTCATGTACCGCACGCGACATAAGTTTTTGTACATTATACTATAGGTATAGAACGATGCAAAAAAATGAATTTATTTTTATTATAGCAAATCAAGAAACTATAGTTGAATTAATGGGATTTATTCGAAGAGTATTTCCGGATATGAAATCACAAAAACAGCAACCAATGAACATAGCAACTGCTTTTACTAGTATGCAAAATTCATCTGAATCAATATTAGAAGACAGCTCTAAAATGAGTAGAACAGAATTAGCTTTTGATTTTCACCGTTTAAACGTTTTACTTCTACGTGGGGTTTACAAAGATGGGTCGGTTCAAGGAAAAAAAATTTGTACCGCTACGCTGAGTGAAGCTAAAATACAAACTACAGTTGGTAAGGTTTCTATTTGTTGTTATTTTTCTGTTTAAATTTTTTTTATTATTTAGATAATGGAATAACGATTGAAGGTTCTTTGGGAGGCCTTCAAGTTCTGGATTTAACTCCAGAAGGGCATATGCATCAACGCATTGTGAGTGTTGGTCATGATCCCGTTTTAGATTTGGTACATCCTTTATACGTTATGTCGCAAAGTATTCAAGGGGAGGAACGAAAAGCTTTAAATTTTAAAATTATTAGAAGCCTACACTGTAGTAGGGAAGGTGATGAAGCGGAAATTATTGTTAGAATGGCTTCGTTATGGTACACACATTCACCACAATTTTTAAAAGAATTGCAATCTTGCGCGACTGAATTTAAACAATATTTATCTCATCTTGCAAAGTCAATTAAATCAGCTGCTACTGATATGGCTTTAGGGCTTGTACACGCAAGGTATAACTTTTATTAGAATTATATAAATAAAATTAATTTGTCTTTTAATACTTAGATTATCTGCATCAATTTATGGGTCAGCTTTGTCGTTTTCTGATTTTGCGTCACCTCGAAGACGAAGAAGAAGCAGTTCAATGGAACAAACTTATTCTGGATATTCATCAGTAAGAGATACGATGCCTCAAACTCCTTATAGTCCAGAGGAAGATTCAGAATTCATGATAAACATCAAGTAACCCTACTTAACTTAATCATAACTTAATTTCTTAAATTAATTTCAACATTTTAGATTGGATGTTGTATTAGATAGCCCTGTAATAATCATACCGAGATCAAGCAATAGCCCTCAAGTTTTTATTGGGCATCTTGGTAAAATTACCCTTACAAACAACAAACCGGGCGATGAACATAGCGATGATTTACAAGACGTTCGACAAGAAAATTACGATATTGAAGTTCGTGATATGAACATTTACTCTTTAGATACAACTTCTAGGAGGGTTCCTGGACCTCTGTATGTTCTCTAACTAATTTGATTTTGTTATAATTAATGAAGTTAATTTTAGCATGTCAAGGCCTGAAGTTGTTTATTCTTGTGAAACCTTAGCTAAACCAATGTTGCATGATACCATTTTACAATTAAACATTTTAAGGGAAATTGTTAAAACGAAACCATCAAGACAAGAAAGCAATTCTAATTTGTTATTGGATGATGATAATTTAACTGATGAGTCCTTAGAGTCAGATGCTACAAATATTTCTGAAAGTATTATGGTGAGATTTGTTTATGAATCATATTAGGAACATAATTAATAAAAGGAATTTGTTATAGATAACTGGAAGTATAATAACAGCGTTAAAAGTTTCAATGGCGAGATACCAATATGAACAATTAATAGATACAATCACCTGGTTAATGAGGCCACAAACCATTTCGGAAGGGGTAGATGTAACTGATTCAATATTAAGACCATCTACTACTCTTACAGATATTCGAGAAGAAGACACAGGTGTTCCCACCTTAAAAATGGATCCGCATGTAAGAGCGAAATTATTTCCAAATATGACAATGCCAAGAAATCAACAAGCAGTTACTAATAAAAGATTGATTGCTGTAAAAGGTTTTATTAACATTTTTATGAGAAAATCATCGAATTATTTTATTTAATATTGCAGTTCAATTTGGAATTCCAAATTTTATTGTGGAATTAAGAGGAGATACACACACTGGGGAGCAAGGATTAGTTGATCTTTCTTTCAGGGAATTTTTATTTATTTATGAAAAATTTCATTTATACGAAACAAATATCCAGGTTAAAATTATTAACATAAATAACATATAATAATAAATAAATAATATTGTTTATAGGTTTCTTTACGATCTATTTTAATGGAAGATTTATTACAACCAGAGGGATCAAAACAAAGGGCCATGGTCGTTTCATCAGCTGGGGACGAATTACCAGTCGGTTTGAATTGCATATCAAGATCGTGTCCAGATATTACAGACAGCTTATACATCTCAAATCCAGTCAGGGGATCTTTACCATCCGATCTGCAACATTCTAGAATTTTAGGTGTTAAATCTAAAAATGTTAATATGCCAAAAACAAATCCTGAATATCCGTCTACTCCACCACCTTCGCCAAGTGTTCGTGATAGGCCGCACAAAAATTTAGCGTTGATATCAACTTTGTTGGTAGATCCAAGCGCTCCAAATTTTAAATCTTACTATAATTCGGTAAGTAGTTTAAATAAATAGTACTATTTCTTTGAAGTAGTAGTAATGTGTGGGCGATAAAATCATTATAAACAGTTTATGGAAAAATCTATGAAACGGGATTAATGATTTAAATTTTTTGCAGTATTTTAGTGTAGATTGCAAGTTTTACTTTTCTAATACGTATACAGGCTGTCTCACGTAACTGGTTCGTTAGAACTTTTTCAGGTTCCACTCTTCGTAGTGATTTGAAATTTTGGTAGCATGGGTTGTTCATTCGGAACTTTCGATCTAAAATATTTTCAAGATGGCCGCCATTTCCCGTCTACCGGAAGTAGACCATAACTTCGTTATTTTAAATGGAATGTTATAGTTTTTATTACACCGTTTAATTGTACGTAAAAAAATAGGTTAACTTTGATAAAAGTTATTAGTGCTTAGCGTTTTTCGTTTTCGAGTTATTTTAGTTTTAAACTTTTTTTGGTAAATTTCGACGTGCTCTTTAAAACCCCATATCTCAACCAACGTTCATTCACAAAAGATCTGTATTGGCACGATTACTCTTCAGATGCTGTCAAATAGATTGTCATTTGTTGTATGGGAGTATCTTATACAGGTGGTCAAAAATTGAATTACTGTTTCTCCATATTCAATGGCGAGAAAGTTGACAATTTTAAATGGAACGCCCCATATTTTTTTAGCCCATCAGCAAAGGAATACAATTCTTTACAAATTATCTATAAACATTTCTATACCTATTTATTGTAGTTTGCCTCATATTGGGAAATTTATTAAATCATGCACGAAATTATTATTAGAAAGCTATGGAATTTTGACAGTTTTTGGTCCATGTTTGTGTTGTTGTTGTCATTAGTTATATTTGATGACGTGTGTAAGTCGTTGAACATCATGGCAGATCATTCCAACGCCGATATTTAAAATTTATTTTGTATTGATGGCGAATGTAATAAGCTTTTGGACAGGAAGTGTCGAACACTTAATAAGAGATGCCTAACAAACCTAACGCCCATCACAAGGGCAAATTAATGACAACATTTTTGTCATTAATTTTTTGTTTTAATTATTTTATTTATTTCGTCTTCTATTTGTTATTTAAAATAAATAAAAACGATAGCATTCCATTTAAAATAACGAAGTTATGGTCTACTTCCGGTGCCCATGCTACCAAAATTTTAAAACTGTACAAATGGTGAAATCTATAAAAGTTCTAACGAACCAGTTACGTGAGACACCCTGTATTTAAAACAGTAAACTTAATACTATTGTAAGTAGAAAATTAATCAATTTTTTAAAGTAATCGGTAATTTTCTCTTGGCTTAAAATGAACCATCGCTCTTTATCGAAAAAATCTTCTATTAAATCTATAGAATTATGTATATTATCTGGAACATTCTCCCTTGATAATACAAAGATTTCAAGCTTTCTAAGATGCTTCATAAAATGTAGGCGTAGCGATATATATTTCATTTGCAAGTTTATAATCACCTTCATCTGATTCTGAAACAATAACATTATTATTATAACATTTATAACAAATTATGCTAGTGATGTCCTAAAAGTTACATACACATACCGGTTTGATCTAGAATTGAGGTTCTCATAATGCTGTCTAAAATATCCTTATCTGCTGGAAAGTCCATTGTATGGGTACCATCATCAATATTTATATAACCATCAAATGAACACTGTATATCTACAGCGGTTTGGGGAAGAACATATTCTTCGTCCTAATCTTTTTCTAGCATTTCATCGTTTTTATCAAACTTTGCCTTTTTGAAGCAATCCACAAATATTCGTTCTTTTATATCTATCTCCATATCTTGTTTAAGTCTTTAATTGCGTTAATCATCAGATTCTAATCCACTAGATTTCTTCCTTTGGTGATATTTGAAAAGTGAAGTTTAAAATCCAAATATATTGGATGAACTAAAAATCAAAATCATAGAAGTTCAGCGAATAACTCCTGATATTTTAGAAAATTCTCAAGACTAAATAAAAAATCGACTAGCTTACTGTTAAGTTAGTCAGGGTACAGAATTTGAAGATTTAACTCAATTTTAATTTATTATTTATTTGTTATTTATTATTAAACAATTATTGCTCATCACTATTTTAATCATTTCAACCAAATTTGTAGTAATTAAACTTTAAAATAATTTTTTTCAAAATTTTTGTTACATGGCCAATAGTTTCAGTAATTTTTCCATAAGCCATTTATAATAATTTTATGAACAGCATAAAAATTTCAATATATTTTATTTATTACAGCTTGAACGATCTACATCGATTGATTTTAATTGCTTGGATCTTGTAGTTAGTGTAGAATCTTGGGTATTAGTCATCGATTTTTTTAGCGCTTCCTCCCCTGAAACGGTTTCGGTGGAAAATATAGTTCAACGTCAATCCTCACCTGAAGTTATTAAAGGTAAGAAGATACATTTTTTTTTAATGTTTTGGAATAAATGTTTAATTCGAACTTCTTACAGAAAGCACAACTCATTGTGCAGAAACAAACATATCTGTGAGATCATTAACTGTTGTGTTAGTAAGACCAGATCGCGATATTGCAAGGGCGAATATTTCCCATTTAGATTTATCGGTAAAGAATATCGGATTGCGTAAAGAAGTCGAAGGCAAATTGGGATCTATTTCTCTGTTTGATTTAACGTTACATGGACAATTGTATAGGGAACGATTTTTAACATCTGGAAAACAGGTTTTAAACTTCCATTATGTGAGATATGCCCCATCGGAAATAGAACAGTATGAATGCCAATTAAAATTAGACATGTCATCGATTTTTTATGTTCACACGAAGAGGTTTGTAGCGGAAGTATCCGCATTTTTTAATTATTTTACAAAATTACAAGCTGTTATGGCTGGAATTAGAGCTGCTACAAGTGGACAAAAGGTAATTAAATAAGTAATTGTTAAAAAATTTATTTATATATTTAATTTTGTTGTTTTAAATAAGATGGAAGATGATAAATCGCGATTATCTTTAATTATAAAAGCTGATTCTCCTGTCATTCTTCTTCCTGTTAGTTCAAAAAGTGCGGATTTATTGATATGCGACTTGGGTCAACTTGCTATAAGTAACGACTTTAAACTTAGTAATGATGTCGGGTGTATAAGTATACCAAAAGATCCTCAAAAAGGTAATATGACGTAGTTTTTTTTTAATTTCAAGCTTTTTATAAAGGATATTTATTATTTTTAGGAAAATGTTTATTAAATGTGATGTATTTGGAACTACAAAACGTTAATTTACACACTGGGAAGAGAGAGATTGATTGCAGTAGTTCTAATGAACGATTAAATTACGGGGACTATTTTAAACTTGGAAGTTGCACAGTGCGCAAACATGGGACCCCAATTTTAACAAAAGCTTGCCATTTAAAGCTGCAAGTCGAAAGAAATTTGGATTGTTTAATTTGTCACAATGGTAAGTTATTTATTAGCAAAAATAATATTGGTACAATTAATAATTATTTTTAGTTCCTGATATGAGTATTCATGGTGAATTATCAACACTTGATGGGACACTAAATGATTATCAATACAAATTAATTCGGGGTCTTTTAACATATAATATAGGGGAAAACACTGAACATATTTTACCATCTGTTGAACCTCCACCCATGACTGCTGAGGTAATTTTCTTTTTATAAATGTTTTTTTTAAAGTAGTAGTTGATTTTTCTTTATTTTATTTAGGTTAATATTCGAGAAAATTGGAAATTAAGTTCAATTCGTCTCGATTTATTAAACGTAAATATTCGCCTCATAAATCAAGGTCCACTTGCTTGCATAAACTTTATCAAATCCCGCTTAACAATCGACTCATTCAGCAATATGAGCCAAGACATCGACTTAGTCTCGCAAGAAATCCTTATTCGCGATAGTAGATTCGAAGACGCTCCAGTTAATAAGCGATCTAACGTTTTTACAAATATTTTACAACCTATAAAGACTTCCAAAGATAGCAAAATCGTTCAAGTGGAAGTGCATAGTCGGAAGAGGTTGGATAAGTCCGAATCAACTATCTTATTGAATAATATGAGATTAATGGCCGTATTTGATTGGTGGGAAGCTGCGAAAGAGTTTATATTTCAAGATATAAGTAATATGCAGGGTAGTCCAGCACATGAAAAACTCATTGTTAAAACTAGTAAAAATGATGATAATAATTTTGAATTTAAACTTAATGTTACTGATTCGGAATTGGTTGTTGTTGAAGATACTTCTCAATGGGATACAAATGCTGTTATATTAAAGGTAAAATATATTATAAATTCTAAATACGGGGTGGTCCATTTAACGTAAGACAAGCGATTATCTCGAAAACGGTTCATTTTACATAAAAATGAACCAAATGAAAGTTGTTCTGTGCGAAGAAAAAAATTGAAACTTTTTTATGGCGTTATTTTCGTATTTAAATATTATCAAGTTTCCTTGTTTATACAGGGTAATTCAAATTCGACCCCCACTATTGGGATCTCAGAAACCATAAGAGATACAGAAATGGTTAAATGGGGGCAAAGTTGCGTATCTTAGACCTCATCATTTTTCAACAAAGTTTTTGGGTCTAGTCGTTTTCATTTTTAAAATATAGCCGCAAGATTTTAACTTGCGAATTCATGGATTGACTTGCAAATTGATTTAATTAGAGGTTATCACCAAATCCCAGTTGCAGAAGAAGATATTTATAAAACTGCAATTACAACACATTTTTTTGGACTCTTTAAATTTTTACGAATGCCTTTTGGATTACGCAATGTTGCTCAAACATTCCAAAGGTTCATCAACGAAGTGACTAAAGGTTTAAACTTTATTTTCGCTTATCTAGATGATATATTNTTTACGGATGCCTTTTGGATTACGCAATGCTGCTCAAACATTCCAAAGGTTCATCAACGAAGTGACTAAAGGTTTAAACTTTATTTTCGCTTATCTAGATGATATATTGGTTTCGAGCAAGGATGAAGATGAACATTTGGATCATCTTAAGCAACTATATAATCGATTAAACCAATTTGGTATTAGTCTTAAACTCTCAAAATGTGAGTTTGGAGTTTCATAATTAAATTTTTTAGGTCACACTGTCTCTTCAAAAGGAATTCGTTCTTCAAATGAAAGAATATCGGTTATCAATGATTTCCCAATTCCAAAAACTTTAAAACAATTACAAAGATTTATCGACATGATAAATTTTTATTCGTTCCAAATTTTTCTTAACTACTCGATCCTCTTCATTCTCTATCAACATCATTGGAAACATGAATTACCTATTATCCTTCTTGGTTTACGTTCAACCATAAAAGAAGGTTTAGGTTGTTCATCTGCTGAAGTACTTTATGGTCAACCCTTGAGACTCCCAGGTGAATTTTTTTTAAGTTCTCATAGTTCAATTGATACGTCTCCACTCCTGATCAGTTTACGAAATCATTTTATAAACTTGAGATCAACCATAATGCGTCATCATTCACTTAATAAACCTTTTTTACATAAAGATTTAGAGAAATCAGATTTTGTTTTTGTCCGGATAGAAGGAAAAAAATCTTGTCTCTCTGCAAGGTATGAAGGACCATTTAAAATTATTAAAAAGTTCTTTAAAACTTATTGCGTGTATTAGTGTTGACAGACTGAAACTTGCTTTTCTTTTAAATAATTCATACATAGAACAAGTTAAAAGAAAAAACAATTTAAATGAATATTAATTTTTCTCTGGAGAGGGGAATATTTGTGGCGTTATTTTCGTATTTATTTCGTTTAAGTTCAGTCGAAATAACAAGTTAACAGTTGAAGAAGTTCTTCAATTTTAACGTACATTTATGAACTTAATACTTTGCGATATGACCTTTTTGTGAACTCTTGTAAAATTAGTGTCTGAGGATGGCCATGGGCCAAAACTAGTAAGACTTAATTAATTAATAAAACCAGTTTCAAAAGTACAATACTGAGAAAATTAAATTTAATTACCTTTTCACAAGTTAATAAATGTATTGAAGTGGGTGGGGAAATATATGAACATTTCTTGTAAATTTTATACTTGTTGTTGATTAATAGTAGGAAGTTTAATCATTTTTTTTTATAAATAAACAATATTTAAAACTATTTGAATAAAAAAGTTAATTAGATTTTGTCTACAAAAGATGTTTCACCGTCGTACTGCCAAAACCACACGGTAATTTTCTTTTTTTTTATTATTATTATTTTACTTTTATCCATAGATTCAGATTTTGCAATCAAAAACATAGGGTACCATTTAAAATATTGGCGGTGACCTTCATATGACCTTGAAAATAAGGTCAAGGTTTACCCCTTTGCATAGAACAACTTTCATTTGGTTCATTTTTATGTAAAATGAACCGTTTTCGAGATAATCGCTTGTCTCACGTTAAATGGACCAACCTATATAAAAGTACAATTTATTAATATGGAGTCAAATATTTAACTAAGTCTTATAAATTTTAGAGTACAACTGTAATATCTTATAGACCAGCAATAATCGAAAAACCAATGTCTTGTAATTTGAACAATTGTGAAATGTATTCTTGCATATTAGGCATGGAAGATGAAACAGCGCTCTCTATTATTGATCCTGTTACATTAAACATAGAAGTAAATGCTGATAAAGTGTTGGAGGTATTAAACTAATCGCCGAGTTAATAAAATTTATTTAATTAAAATTTGTTTAAGGTTCATCTCCAACGATTAATTGTAAGACTTTCATATTACGACATGCGTATGTTTTTGCAAATTTTAAATTCTTTACCTAAACAAATGTTTTCAAACAAAAAAGAAGTCGAAGAGCCGCCAGCTAATATTCAAAGTAAGCTGTTTGAAAAACTAATTAATTTTTATCTTTTATATTCTTTAAATTCTCTTTTTTTGCTACTTCTCTTTGCATTTCGTGCTTTACAGCTCAAATAAGAAAGCTAACAGCTCTAGGCTTTACTATCGAAGATTGTATGCATGCTTTAGAGTATTGTGATCAAAAGTTGGATGACGCTGCCTTATGGTTAACTCAAAATGCTGTGCCGTCAAGCGCCCATGATATTGATGTAACGTCTGAGGCTGGAAAAGCGTCTAATATTTCTGCTGTTGAGGTAATTTATTTAAAAAAAATATTTTTGATTACCAAATTTATGATTTTAACAACAAATTTTAATTTAATTAAAAATGGGATTTATTAACACACAAAAATTATTTGTAGGTAAAAGCTGATTGTATATCTTTGTGTATTATTGATGATTGCGGCGATGCAGACGTGCCGCTATTAGAATTAGCATTATCTAGATTAAATCTTCGACAAGGTCTTGTTCCAAGCGTTTCGTTTGATGGTGGAAATGATTCGCAAGGCGCAATGGAATGTATGTTAACTGGTGATTATTACAATAGGGTGTTATCTGGTTGGGAACCAGTTATTGAGCCATGGAAGTAAGTTTTTTTTTAATATTTAATTCTTTTTAATATCGATTTTTATCTAGATGTCTACTAATTTGGAATCGAAATTTATCACCGAACATATCGAATCTTTTACAAATGACTGTTGAATCAAAAGAAGTTCTTAACATTAATATAAGCTCAACTTTAACGGATCTCTATCGACAAGTTAAAACCAATTGGATGCAAGATTTTTATAACAACAAAGATCCGCATCAAACCGGTTCAAAACCTATGTCCAGTCCTCCAGGTTACAAAAGAAGGTGTCCGTTCATTCCATTTGCAATAAAAAATGACACTGGATCAGCTCTTAATTTTACTACGTTAATTTCCGACATTAATGAGCTATATGGTCGTAAAGGAAGTAAGAATATTGAAGAGAGATGGATTCCCGTACCGAATGGAGAAACTGTTACGTTTAGATTTAGAAGTAGCGGTAAAATTCGTCACAGTGACACTCATGTAATGCGCATGCATAGGTTGGGGGTCCAAGTTGATGGATATCAACCGGTTACACCCGTTACAGTGGATAAAGTTGGTGTTTATTTTAGAAATTCAGTTCCTGCTATACAACCTAGGGTAAGATATTAGACAGCTTATTAATACATCATTTAATATTCTTCAAAACAATTTTTTTTAAGATTCAACAAGCTGTTCCACCTGCTAGAATTGTTTTTGATATTTCTATTGAGGGCTCTGCAAGAAAACTAATCACAGTTCGTTCAGCATTATTGATTGTTAATAAATTAAAGGAAGATATGGAAGTAAAATTAGAAAGTAATTTAGCAACTGATTTATTAGGTGACAATTTAATCCAAAATTCAATTTGTATCAATTCTATTTATAATATATTTTTAGGTTCCCAATGGACTCCTAGTAGGCTTTTAATAATAAAAAGTGGCCAAACAATACCAGTTCCATTAATGCACGCACATTCTTCTATTACTGCAAGACCTATAATGTTGACTCAAATGTCTACATTCTCAACACCATACATTTCATGGGAGTTATTTAATAAATATGGGGAAATTGCATATGAATTAAGAGTTTGTCATTCAAGCAAAGGAAAAATTTACAGATTTTGTGCTGAAATAACGAGGGAAAATTATCCATTAGATAGACCTGGAGCTTATGCTGGAGCAACATGTCAAAACATTCAACCTGCTCATACAATAACTCTTTTACCAACAGTCCTTGTTGTAAATTTATTACCTGTTGATATTTCTTTCAAAATGTGTGGTACATCTGGTAGGGTGCGTTGTGGGAGTCAATCATCAGTAACTTTTATTGACCCTGAAGAACTCATCGAGATGTATTTGTATTTGGAAAATTTTCCTAATTCAAACGCGCTAATTATACCTCCAAATTGTACTGGGGCAACTTACCGAGTTAAATTAGAAGATAGTTTGAGACGCAGATTAAATCTTACAGTTACTGTCACACCAAACAATGATGCTAAATTAAAGGTGGGTGTCTCGTCTAATTAAGCCTCTTTTCATTTTTATTGCCTTTTATAGATTACAGTTTCTGTTGGATATTGGATAATCAATAAAACAGGATTACCGTTAGTATTTAGACAGGGTGGAGTCACTGCAGAAGCTGCAGGACAATTTCGAGAACACGAATCCGCCAGAATGGTACAACCGTTATTGTTCAGTTTTTCAGACCCCGATGCAAGTCTTACTGTTATGGCACGTGTTGGATGTAACGTAATATTAGATGGAGCACCACAAGTAAATTTATAAAATAAATTTCTTTTACAAATTTCTTTTAATCTATTTTTTGTAGTGGTCTTCTAACTTTCATTTACAAAAAGGATGTCAAGTGCGTAAATTAAGAGTGAGCCACAAAGATGGTCGTCCTGACACAGTCTTTATAATTGGAATTGAAATTCGAATAGGACGTGGAAAATATAGAGATACCAGCATTGTAATTATTTCACCAAGATTTCAATTATATAATCGAACATCTTACCAACTACTTTTTGCTCAAAATTGCGAAGCTGTTGATTGCTCAAAATTGGTAAGCACAAAAAAATTAAAAATAGATCGTTATTGTGAATTAATTTTAATAATTTAGGATGATCCAAAAGTATCACGACCGATTAGAACCCATTTAAAAGCGATGCCCGAATGTCATATGCCTTTCCATTGGACTCGATTTGATAAAGATCAATTGTTATGCGTCATGATAGTGGATGTCTCCGATTGTTGGTGGTCTGGCGGTTTAAAAATCGATCAAAACGATTCGCTTCATGTTAATATTCGAGATTCTGGGGGAAGGATGTACTTTTTACGTCTTGAAGTGGTGTTACAAGGAGCAACTTATTTCGCTGTATTCACTGACGCGGATACAATGCCACCACCATTGCGTATCGATAACTTTTCGGAAGTTTCAATAACGTTCGCACAAACTTGTTGCAAAGAAATCGTTCACAGCGTAGCTAGGGCTCATTCGAGCATCCCATACGCTTGGGATAAACCAAGAGAGCCTCATAATATTACGTTGGAAGCTCCTGGAGGGGTTATTCATACTTATAATATGAATATTTTAGGACCTTCTGCTAGTTTAACATATGAGAATTTTATTTATATTGCTTTTACAGGTACTTTTAAAAGGTAAGTAGAGTTAATTCATAAATTCTAAATAACATATTGAAACAACTTTTTGTCGCGTTTTAACAGATCAAATGGAGCAGTTGATCCATTAGATGTAGAAAGTCAAGAATTGGTACTCGATGTAGTAAATAAAACGGATGTGATTTTAGCGAGAAAACAACAAGGTCAACGGTCCCAATTGTGGAGAATGACCTCGTTAGGACAATTACAACACGAAGGAAGTAGCCCGCCATCAGATCCTCTCCAACCAAAGTCGGGGAATATTTATGTGCTTGATATAGAAGGTCCAGCTCCCCAACCGAGTTGTTATACTCGGTTGTGTTTGCGCAGAACGGATCCGCGGAGAAAGTCGACTCAAACATGGAGATTTACGGAAGAAGGTCGCCTGTGTTGTGCGCATAATAATATGTGCGTGCAAGCGCAGGATGGTTTTTTTGGTCTCAGACAAGGTGAGTGTGTTAGGGAATAGTTTAGCCGCTGCATGACACTTGCTCTGTTACAGGTAGTCCTGTAGCTTGCTGGCAGCAGTGTACGTATTCATTTTTTCAGTTTACACAATTTTCGTTTTCTGATCATTTTCTTATTGTAATGGATTTTCTAGAAAAAGATAATGCTTTTATTTGTGGATGGGTATTGGTTTTGAGGTGTTGTAGAATTTGCTGGTGGATTTTTTTTTAGATTTGTTGAAAGGGTTAATTTACATTATCTTACCCCTTTATTTTATTCTGGTGACTATTGTACATTTGCAACGTGCAAAAAAGCTGTAAATTTCAGTTCCAGTATTGAACCATTCCCACATTTCCTTCTCCATTCCACTGCTTTAATCGAACTGATGCTATATGCTTATTCATATACAGGGTGATTCAAAAAACCGCTGACAGACTTCCAGAGTAGATAATACATGAAAAATTAAGATGAATAGTCTTAATATACATGGTGTCGCAAATGCCTCGTTGGCGAGATATAGCGGATTAAAGTTTCTTTAAAATTAAACATTATCTGCAATAAAAAGCACTTTTTTAAAAATATTGTCTACGCCATTGCTCTCTACGCGTGTAAAGTGATCAATTATCTATCAATTGGTCTCTTACAAAACTTTGATCAAAGCAATAGTTTTTAAGAAAAACACGTTTGTAGAAAATTTGTTAATTCAATCAAAAACTGTTAAAGCAATCAAAGTTTTGTAAGAGACCAATTGATAGATTTTACACGAAAATACTGCCCGTTTGACAAAATTAGCAGTGGAGTTGAAAATATCTTTAAAAAAGGGCTTTTTATTGTAGATAATGTTTAATTTTAAGAAACTTTGACCCGCTATATCTCGTTAAGGAGGCATTTGCGACCCCATGTATATTAAGACTTTTCATCTTAATTTTTGATGTATTACCTGCCCTAGAAGTCTATCAGCGGTTTTTTGAATCACCCTGTATGTATTTGTCAATGTGTGTCTTGTAACTTGAAATTTTAGGTAATAACAGGTGTTAAATTTTTGTGGACTTGTATAGAATAATTATGTTGCATATAACATTGTTGTCTTTGAGCAGCATCAATGTCATGAAACGAAGAGTTGGGTTAGATATAAGGCATATGTTCACTTAAAGTATAATTATTGATATTTGATCCATATGTCAACAAGTTGGATACAGGAAATATCTTTGTTAATCATTAAGAAAAATGGGTTTCGAGTTCTCATACAACCATACAACCATAAATTTTTATTAACCACAAAAATCAAATTTAAAATATTATAGCGAATTTATTGGATAATTGGAACAATGGTTACTTTGCCCTTGTAGTAATGTGTTGATTAGCCATTTTACCAGCAATTTTGGCAGTTCTCCATACAGTAATTTATTGAAAATCAAACTGCTTGCAAGTGCTACCACTACATATTGAGATAGGCAGCCAATATTACACAGGTCACGTGGGTTACGATAATTAATTAACACAGTGTATATGTATGTCAGTAACAATAATTATTTTTAGGATCTTATTTTACAATTTTTAATTCGAACTTACAGTCTGTTAATAAGCTCGTTGATTCTCTTACTTTTTTACACACTTAAAATTGAATTACATTGAATGTTATTTTGAATGCAGATTGGTTGCAGTTCTGTTGTATTCTCAATGATACATGACGCAATGTTGACATTGACTGAGGTGTTTCATATCTTTTTAGGGCGCATATCATAATATACAGGGTGTGTCAAATCTCTGGAATATAGCCAGTAACTTCGCCATTTGTGGTTTTAAAGAAAAATGTTTCAAATAAAGAATTCTTTATTAATTGTGGGGCATTTTTTGGCGATATTTGCTTGTTTATATTGTCTTTTGTTTTGTTGCTATGGCAACCAACATTGTTATTTTAAATGGAATGCATATTTTTTTGCATATTTTTGTAGAAGATAAATGTCTCTACGCGATGACCATATCAAATCATATGGTTGTATAAAAATAATGCGTTCTCTGAAAATATTAAATCAGCAAATTACAATCAAAGTAGGCGCCGAAATAACGCCGGTAACAGTTTTAAATGTCAAAAAATTGACAGTTTAAACAAATATGGCGTAATTAAGCGAACGACAAAGAATCCAAATATTACTTATAGTTCGTTTTTTTTCTATAATACTTGTCAATGTAAATTATTTAGGGTTTCTGTTGGTATTATCTAGGACCCTTATAAAATTTATGTTGTTTTCCTGATTTTTAGTAACATTTTCAGTAACTAAATAGTTGAGGTTAAAATACTAATACATTTTTAGATAAATACGATTTTAACGAAGTACATATTTGTTGTAAAAACGTGCTACAAAGTAATTAAGTAGAACAAAATACCATTTCTAGGTAAATAAATGGCAAAGAAACACCCAAAAACATTTTTTATGCACCTTTTCTTTTTGAATAACGAAAGCTCAAACGTCAGTGTGACATATTTATTTCAAAACATGATAAAACAAAACTCCCTGTTAATTTTGCCAACTTTACAACAATTTGACAGGTATTATAGAAAAAAAATGAACTATATGTATGGGTATGGTAATAGATAACGCACTCAAAGTGAAGTTTGTACACTGTTCAATAATATTTACGCGGATACACAAATTACACAATCCACAGTTTTTTAATATTTTGGATATTAAAAAAATTCTTTATTACCGCGAGTGTTAAAAACCTTCCAAAAAGTGGACGGCTGAAGACAGCTACCAATGACGAAACTACATAAAATGTGTCACCGTATCCGTACATTATTAATTATTCATAATTGTTGAAACTGTCACTTTTTGACATTTAGGCCCGGTTTTACAATCATAGTTTAAGCGTCCGATTAACTAATCAGCAGTTAAAATTTAAACTAAGTTTTACAAAAATTATGTTTCACAATGAATTATTAAACTAAGTTTAAGAAACGGAGGTTTGTACTACAGTTGGTAATAAGTGTCAATTTCATATTGTACATATAACTAACTTCATTGTTTAGTATCTGTCAAAATTATAATCTCTTAATTTTGTATTTTATAACTGTTTGATTTTCATTTTGCTAAAATATTTTTTAACTATGAATAATATATTTAACGAACTTACGGACGATGAAAATTTCTTAGAAGTAGTTGAAATAGTGGCTTTTCCTAAAAAGTTTTTCGTGAGCGGAATAACCATTTTGAAAAATGGTCAGACCAAGAGTTTCTGGAACGTTTTAGACTATCTAATTAGGTACATTTCCAATCAATTTGAAGCTTTGTAAAACATTTTCAAATTAAACTTACTACAAAAAATAACTACTTACATAAATTGATTATAATATACTTGTTCGTCCTTTTTGATTTATTAGGTATACAAAATATAAAACAATTTTTCACTAGGCACAAACTGAACAAATGTGAACCGTAGTTTAACGTTAAACGGTAGTTGTAAAACATTTTTTTGTTAGTTAACCATAAATTAAATTAAACGTAGTTTAAACCACTATTGTAAAACTGGCCCTAAAAGCTGTAAACCGCGTTATTTCGGCGCTTACTTTGATTGTAATTTGCTGACTTAATATTTTCAGAAAACGTATTTTTTTCTTATACAACCATATGATTTGATATGTTCATCGCATAGAGGGATTTATCCTCTATCAAAGTATGCAAAAAGAATATATGCATCCCATTTAAAATAACAATGTTGGTTGCCATAGCAACGAAACAAAACATTACAAAGAAGCAAATATCGCCAAAAAATGGGCAACGATTAATAAAGTAACTTGTAATTTAAACATTTTTCTTTAAAAACACAAATGGCGAAGTTATTGGCTATATTCCAGACGTTTGACACACCCTGTATATTTTACGACTTGTTTTTAATGTTGAATAATTTTGCTAAGTTTGAGTAAATTTGATTATGGTTTACCAAATTGTTACCAAAAGTATTATGTCGTATAACTTTTGTCAGTAGTCAATGCGTCTAGACGGCTCCAATTTTCTCCAATCTTGCGTTAAGTTGAAATACGAAAAGTAAACAGTGCCCGATACAGAATCTAAACCTTAGATGTGGTGTTAATAGAACTGGAGACGATCATTCCAAACGAGCATATTTGATAATTCCTGACTTCCCTTAAAATTTTAACCCTGATTAGAGTATGACCAAACTGTTATTGGCTAAGTAGTGTTTGGTTATTCCAATTACAGACTTGTTTTTGAAGTCTGGTGTCTCACTAGAGTAATTCCAGGCTTACTCATAATGTATGGCACTTACCCAGTACATTTTCTTATAGTCTGGAGTCTTGTCAGTGTATTCAAAATTGCTGACTAAAAGCCTATCAGTGCAATAACAAAATTTCCCAGATTTCAATTCAACCAAATTGACATTTCTTGAAAATTTAGAGTATGTCCAAACTCTTTTTTACTATGTAGTGTTTAGTCATTGCAATTCCAGTCTTCTGTTTGAAGTGTGGAAGCTCTTGTTTTGAGGAAAATTAGTGAGTAATTGTATCTTCTTTTCAATCTATTGCTTGAGGTAATGATGAAGCAGTTTTAAATTAATCGGCAATTTGCATTTATTAATTCAACATTTGTAAATATTGTATTTTCCAACCTTGATGGATCTATTGTATTTCTAGTCTTAAGTTTATTGATCAACTTCTGACCCTTGGTCTCTAAGTAATTTATTTCTAACTTATACTTTAATTTTCCTAATTCTTTCCCAAATTGATTCAACCAAATTTAAAATTATACCTAAATCCCCTGGCTGTTCTTTATTATCCCTTCCATCATTCCTTCCAAGCTTCTCTAATGAGCCTGAAAAAGCATCTTGTAGGAGGTCATATTTTTTTTTCTTATGGATATAAAGACTACTATATCACATACTCCAGATTACGGTCAAGATACCGAGAATCGCTGAATTTTATGTCTAACTGTTGTATTTTTGCAATTCGCCCTCACTTTTCTATCTGTATCATATCCGCTTTTTGCTTAAAGTAAAATGGTGAATGTGATTTTGTTAATTAATTTTTTTTAATACAGGTTGGATGTATTTTCTTGTATTAATAATTTTTTCAACATATGTTCTTGACATTTTCAGCTGCTTTTAATATTTTTAAACTTTGTAATGTAATACGTGAATAATTTGCTTATTATCATGCCTGTATCAAAAATGCAAGTGACGTGGTGTGGTTGGAAATTGAATGTGTCTAATTAACGTGAAATCAAACACAAAAAGATATTCTGAAGTTTTCGAAGACACGTAACGGAAAAGTTAATGAAGCCAGAAAGAATATTTCTCAACAAATTCAGTGCCCATCTATTTACATGCCTTATTAGATTTACTTACAGATTGTTCTTATAAATGAATAGAATCACGAAGCGTTTGAAAAAGCGTGACAAAATTGAATTATTATGTAGTACAATAAGTAATCTTCTTTTCACCTTGGCAATTTAGAGCTTTAACTATAGTCCAAGATTTGTTGAACCTAAAGAATAACCTAAGAAAGAATCTTCTTCATCTCTTCTTTCAATTAGTTACATCTCATTCAAAAATTTACCATTATTATTTAGGGGCGATATTTTCAACGCTTCGTTTTAAATACAAAATAAATAATATTTCTTAAATTATTCATTGTTATAAGTTAATTTCGATTCATTTATATTTTAATTATAAGTACGAATGTGTGTTTTTAGCATCGATTAATAAACATAATAGATTGAGTATTATTACTATAAGGAATTAACTTTTATATGCATGCTTCTGTGTGACGTTTCAGCAACTAATTAAACTAAAATAAATATATAACATTTATTTTTTTTAATATACAGGGAATTCGGCAGTATTGGGTCTTCCACAACCAGTGTGTCACCGAACGATGCAAAATGGAGTTCCATTAGAACAAGCTGTTTCTCGACAACGTATGCGTCCGGGTTCTGGATTTTTGGACGTTGAAATCAGTACAGATGGGCCAACAAAAGTCCTCAGTATTTCGGATAAAAAGGATCAAAGGCATAAATTTGCAGTTAGCGATGAAGGTGATTGGAGCAGCATTGCGCCAAAACAACGACCTGGTGTTGTCAAGACTAGCGAAGATATCGAAAAGAAAGAAAGTAAAGAGTTTCGATTAACGGTGAAATTAGCCGGATTGGGAATTAGTTTGATATCGAGAAAACCGCCGGAAGAATTGTTATTTACGAAGTTTTCGAAAATAGTAAGCGAAATTTTGTTCATGGATACAAAGAAACGATTTTGTATAAGTGTTGAAGATATACAGATCGATAATCAGTTGTTGGATGCTTCAACACCAGTAGTTTTACATGTAACAAGGACAAATTCAAGAATGCATGGCGATCTTAATTTACCCACTTTGGATGTTGTAGCCGAAATGTTACCTATACTAAATGAAAACGCAGTTATATTTAAAGTAAAAACAACGTTTAAATCAAATAATTGTTTATAAAAACATTTCTTTTTTAGCACTTTATTGTAAAAATGAACAAACTAACCGTTTATTTAGAAGAAAGGCTTTTATTAAAAATATTTGCTTTTATTGGTTTTGATAATAAAGAAGAAGATTTACACAACATTGATGAAACCGATTATGAAACTCAAAGAATGCTTACTGACGTTTCTGCCGCTCATTCAACGAGGTATTATTTTGAAACGATTCAGTTGATTCCAAACCAGATACGTTTAAGCATGCGGACTGCAAATAAATTATCATACAAGTTACAAGGTGTTAAACGAAAATTGGGATTAACATTCATTAAATTTGAAGATGCAGCTGTCGATTTAGAACCGTTTAAAAGAGATCATTCGTTTGAAACTTTACAGTTCCTAATTAATGTTATTATGAAGCATTTTAAAGATGTATGTAATTTTAGTACACTTATCTCTAATTCTAAAAATGATTTTTTTTTAGGAATTAAAATGGCAAGCAGCTGTAATTTTAGGTTCAGTTGATTTCCTTGGAAATCCGCTTGGTTTAGTAAGTGATGTTTCTGAAGGGGTTAATGGTTTTATAAGAGAAGGCAACGTTGGAGCTCTTGTAACGAATATTGCACATGGACTATCTAATTCTGCAGCTAAAGTGACGGAAAGTTTATCTGATGGGTTAGGATTTGTTGCTATGGATGAAGAACATGAAGAAATGCGGCAAAGAATACGCCAAGTAGATAGTGGTCGCAGCAGAGATCATATTTATGCTGGTATAAAAGGTTTAGGATTTGGAGTATTGGGTGGAGCAACGGGAATATTTAAACAAGTTTATGAAGGGGCGGTAAACGAGGGGGTCCAAGGCGTTTTTTCTGGTATTGGAAAAGGATTGTTGGGTGCTGTGGCTAAACCGGTTGTGGGAGTTTTAGATCTTGCTTCTGAAACAGCAAGAGCTGTACGGGACTCAAGTAGAGGATCAAGCAGATCAACTCCAGATCGATTAAGACCACCAAGATGCGTATTTGGTACTGGAGGATTATTACCGAGATATTCCTACAAACATGCCATAGGCCAACAATATCTTTACGCAGTAAATAACCGAAATTATTCCGAACAATTAGTAGCTTACGATAGTTTACTCCCTGGAGTTGAAGATTTGCACATAATCATTTCTACGCAGCGAGTGAGAATCATTACAAATAAAACGAAAACAGTTATAGAGTGGCATTTAAGTGATCTACGAGAATGTCGCACGTTAAAAGAAGAAGAAAATAAGCACTATATTCAAATTATGATGCACGTAACTGGCGGAAGCACAGATTTAGTTTATCAAGATCCGATTAAAAAACCAAAAGTTAGATGCGAATCTGCCGAACTGGCTTCAGTTGTATCCCAACAAATCAACTATGCAAAGCGTCTCTTCGACGAGAGATTGCATACTGTTCAAACCGACAATATAACCAACTGTGAAGACTGAAAGTTATAACTTTTTTTGGATAGTTATTCATGATTTTTGTACTACAAGAAATGATTGTATGTATATAGTGGAAGTTTATTTTTTGTTTGCATATTGTATGAAATATATTGCTGTATATAAACTGTTAAAATAAAATGTTTGTCTTACTAAATTATAAATAATGTAACTAACACAATTTCAAAAATGTTAATATACAGTCGATTCCGTTTATTTGGGACACTGGTTAATCAGAACAGCCGCTTATTTGAGACTAATTTCAAAGAATAGTATTTAAAATGTCTAATTAACCACTTAAAACTAGTGTTTTTCTATAAAAAGTCAAAAAATATCAGATTTGTTTGGTTTTTATTTTAGTATCCACTTTTATATCTCCCTTTTTTTGAGACACTTTATTTTAAGGAATGAACAGCAGAATTTTTGTGAAAGATGATTTTTTCAATGCTTGGAATTGGTTTCAAAAAGTTCAGTTAATCGTAATGGATTTAAGCTTTTACTTGGATTTCCACCTTTATTGGCAAGAATTCAGGGTTCCCATATTCTTGAATATGGGGCCTTTCTGAAGATCATCAATCTTATCAGGAAGATGTATGAGTGGTATGAGTCTTAAGTGGTGTATAATGGAAAATTTACTGATCCACCCAGGCAAATTTTGGGATGAGTCAATGGTGTGTTTTCTCACCCATACTGTCCCTCCTAGTATTGGCTAGAATGATCAGAAGGAAGGATAAATAGTATTCAGTGGGGAATGCGAAATAGACTTGAGAACATTGAGCTTGCAGATGACAATTGCCTACTTTCACTGAGATTTCGGAATATCAGGTAATACAGAGAAAACTGCAAGATGAAGCAGAAGCAACAGGACGAAAAGTCACTGTTCAAAAAATGAAGCAGGTGAGGATCAATTCTGTAGTCGAACTTGGAACGAGTTGAAACATTCGTGTACCTTGGTGGCATTGCTGGGGGAGATGTGAAGAAACTAATACAGAGAGCAAATGGATCTATTTGTGACCAAATCAATGAGATAAAATGGCATTGGATTGGCCACACGCTAAGGAAGCCCCATGGAGCAGTTGAGATGTGCAACGCCTTGCACATTTCAACTACTCCCTGAAGCCTGCATCTCTTGATAAAGAAGCAATGAAGGCCGGGAAAACGTGAAGAGTAGTGAAATGCATCCAACCGAACCAAATGGAGCCTTTACTGTTGTCCTATGATTCACCAAGAACGACAGGAAATAAGTCAAGTCCTTCTATTTGATTTCATTGCTCCATACGTATCTGTGGAGTGTAAGACGCGAAGATCTGCCAACTCAACTGAGGAATAAAAATAGTCGTTAGACAGTAAGTTTTATTACCACTTGCGTTAGCACAGGCTAATTGCGGCTCACCGATAATTATTCACTACTTCACTACATGTAGTGATGAGTTTCCATGATTCGTTACTGTTAAAGGTAGTTTTTAATGTGAACTGTTTTTCTAGAAATCCGACTTAAAATCATTTCATACATTTTTTAAAATTTTTCGCAAGTTTTAACAAGGGTGTACAATTTTTGAAAAACCATTCTGTGTCCGCCATTTTGAATTCTTGAAAACGTATTTTATATAGTCGATCATTTTTATCAGCAGTGTCGTTATTGAAAAAATGTATGCATTGCATTAACAAGAGAAATCTGTCCCGGAACATCGTGTTAGAAATAAACTCGTTACGGAACATAGAATCCTTTGACCAACAGAGATTCAAAGCAGGAAGAACGTTCAGCCCCATTATCAAGATAATTGAAAAAAATCGTTTTATTTCTGCTTCGTCGCAATCAACCCATAGATTTAGTCGAGATTTTGAGGAGTTCTGATTTATCAATATTTGACGTGCATATCTGTTTGTTTCTTCAACAATAGTTTTTACTATATCGTCTGATAAAAATAACTGGTACACGTGTATAGGATTTTTTATCGTAGTGATATCAAAATTTAGTGCAGACGATTCTTGCCTTTGGTACATACATGTAATTGTTATCTTCAGTTATATTATGCAATTCCTCTTCATTTTGCATACAATTTTTCACCGGTATTTCATCTAAAACGACATTATCATTTTCCGTGTATTCCATGCAATAATCTTCGTCGTTAGAGCGGTTTTCATCACTTTCAGTGTCTGAAGACGATGGAACATAGCTTTTGTCAAGAAACTCGGAGTCATCAGAATCAAATGCATCAATATCAGAATCATTTTCGTCATCATTTGATGATTTATTAGTTGTAATGTTTTTCGACGAACTAGGTTCTTCACACTGGCTAGGATAATCAACGGCATCAATATTTTTTTCCTGTCCAGTAATACACATACTACTTTTGTTCTTATCACTGTTAACCGTTTTTTTGTTAACATTTTCTAGCTCGCACTGGGCTAAAACCAAAAATTATTCTGTTACACATGAAAGAAGAGCCACTATACAACACGTGCTTGTTGTTTAGTAATATTGCATACCGAGACGTCACCACCCGTTTTACAATTGAAACAGCACCAGTGCGTTAAACCTAAACATTTTCATAGCCTACAAGTTTCTAGACATAGCAATAAACCAAAACGTACATGTAACATTCTAAGGAAAGCTATATTAACGAAGATACAACTTCCGCAAATTGCGAAAAATTTCGAATATACGCAACAACAAGCCAACGAAGTAAGCCACTGGTAACGCAGTCAACCTGTTAAGAGAGACGCATTGTTTTCTTTTGAAAATAATTTGCAAGGATAACAAAAAACTGCTTTGACAAAAGAATCATAAATAAGCCATTCCCTTTTTTCTCTTTTTCCGTTCTGGACAATACGAAAAAAATCAGACTCTTTCAACACTTTAGAATATATTCTTTCCCCATCTTTATATATCTTTGCAGTATTTTCAATGGCGTCACTTTTGGGACTATTAATTAATATATTTTCTATAAAACATTCCTTGCAAATCATTTCTTCAGACCACTACGATATTTTCAATATTGTTGCTATTGGAGACCGGGAGGATTCTTGTTCTTCTTCACTCATTATTTCTTGATTTTTAATTTCAATTTCTACATCAATTTCATTTTCAGGTCCACTTGCGGTGTCTTCAGGGATCATCTCATGTATAGTTATATGATGTATAAGTTGACTTCCGTGAGCTATTTGTTGATCTATATTGTTTTGAAGTTGAGAACTAGTGGTACTCGTATCAATGAAAAATGTTGTGATTTTAGGCAATCGTTTATGCATTTCTTCCAAAATTTTTCTTTTTTCCGTTTTGCGGTACCTGACGTATGTTTATACATGATTTCTACAGATACTATGAAACATTACGGTATACCTACGCACTCGGCATTTCCCTTTTACCTTCTACTTATTTACCTTATATTGAAATGATTAAATTAATAATTATTAGATACAATTATTATTACTTTCTGAACTATGATGCGATAATTAAGAGTAGGTAACACCACAAAGCATTCAATCACTAATTTGTTATAGCTAAACTTACACATGTTTGAATACCCATTTTTTGATTTTTAAATTTTTAATTGTTGTTCTAGATTGTTCTAGAGTTGTTCTACATTGTTCCAAAGCGGCAAATCGAAAAAATAAAAACTCCACGAGAAAACCGAAAAAACAGGTTTTTTGACTAGGCCCCCATTTTTGGAAAAATCAAATTTTCTTTGTTGTTCTGGGTTGTTCTAGTTATTGTTCTAGAAAATCAAAATTATGGGTTACAGCATTACGAAGTTATAACTAAAAATAGATTTGGCCGCCGAAATGTCTAGTTGATTGCTGTGACCATAGTTTTTCTATTATCAATTCCTTATTACAAATATATACTTATTATAGCTAACGCAATCTGGAACAGCTATTATTTTTACTAGAACAACTCTCTAAAGGGCACTTTACTCTTTGAAAATTAAAGTTTTTGGAAGTTTGTCAGTAATTCTTGTGCCAGCGGTTTTATATTACACAATAAGAATTAAAAAACATAGAACAATCTAAAATAACTCAAACTTTGCCGATTCAAATTGTTCTAGATGTGTTTTACGTTTAACACGGACATTAATTTTGCAAAATCACATATTTTTTGTTGCTCTAAATTGTTCTTGTTGTTCTAGGTACTTAAAATGTTTATTTAAGTTCTTTTAAAGTTTCATATTAAAAATTAGTACTTACAACAATTAAAACAATTCAGAATAGCTATTATTTTCACTAGAAAAACCTTAAATTTGAGTTATTGTGATATCGGACAGATTTTGTTGAATCAGTGAACCCAACCTTTAATATAATAATAGTTTTAAAAAACTAAAAAAATATGGAATAATCTGAACATCATAATTTTCTAAAAATCACAACTTTCACCTTTCTCTTTAAACTTGTAATAGTAAAACATAAGTTGCGATTTAAAGTGTATTTTATTTTGTATAAACTAAGTAATAAATTAATAAATAAACTAAACTAACAAATAAGACAATAACTATTCGATCAGTATTACTATATCAGTACAATAACAACTTATTCTAAGGTAAACTATAACTAAATAAACTAAATTATGTAAATAAACTAATATCATGGAATAATACGGTTACATCACTTTCCTCATTTATAAACATATATGCACATTTGTGCATTTACTTCAGTAGCTTCTTCAACTTGTACGGATTTTTTTCGTAAGTCATTAAATAATATCCAATTGGCATTGCTGGGTACTGTCCTACATCATTCAAAGATTGAGTACCTTCGTAACTGATGATACCTGCGGGGATATAGAATTTGTTGTGGAGTAACAAATTGCGTGCGTAATCACTCAATTTTGTTTTATTGTTCTCTCCATTCGTTGTTTCTATAAATAGACCACATTTTTTTGCAATTGTTGCTTAGAGTTTGCATGTAGTTTTCTATTACTTGCTTTAGTTGTGCATAGCCAAATATTGTTACGATGTCAATATCGATTGGTAAAATTATGTTTTTATGGAAAGTAACGTTTAAACAATTATTGCAGTTTTTAGTCCTACAATAACTAAATTCTTCTTTAAATTGTTGTATGCAAAGAAACGCAATATTTGAAATAGCATTCACTATTATCACGCCAGCAATTTTCTGGCTTCCAAAATAATTTATTCCTGTTAATAGTTCATTCTTTTTTTATATGTTGTTTTACTAGAACCGGTTTTTAAAAATAATTTTAGAAAACTAAAGCAATCTGTGCAAACATTCTCAA